AACAAATCTAAGAGCTGTTGATACCTCACAGAACAGCCCCGTGCTTGGAGCATAGCCTTCAGCATGGATACATATACATTCTTTTCCTGAGATCCTGAATTCCCTATGTTTTACACCTAGTTATATCAATGAACTTCTCTTCTTACCTTCCTTCTTGTTTTCTGCTTCACTAGAGCGTCCTTTCACCTGAAAACCGAAGTTCCCTGAACTCAGGCCCCACGTTGGGCGCCACATGTGCCCAGCCAGCTCAGGCTGAGGGAGGGTGGCGAAGGACGAAGAAATGACAGACAAAGAGAATAAGCTGGGTCTAGGTGGATCTTCCTGTGCCTAGCTGTTTTATAGCCAGAGGTAAAAAGGTAGTGGTCACCATAGTTACAATGTTCTTGTGAGTTTCACATGTTTTGGCAGGGCTTGCTGCACTTCCCTCAGCCCAATAGCTACCCAGATAAGATCTAGGGAGCATCATAAGGTGAAGCCTAATTGTGCTAAGAGGACTGTGCCCTCTAAGCTGGGACTTGTTTGTGGCTTTGCCAATAGGCCAGTCCGAGGCTTAACCCTATAGCCATGCCCTACAGAATGAGGAAGGTGTAAGCCTGGGAGGGGCCCCCTGCATCGTGCTGGAGCTCAAGTCAGAGCATCCTTGAAAGGTAAATGACATAGGATGAGAGATCAAAGACTGAACAAGTTCAGGAGGCATCCATACAGTGGCAAAAGGACAGCCCTGTTTGGGTTTTCAAAGCCTGATGGAAGAAATCATCTGCAGAAGAGGTGTCACAGGGGTCTGGAAAAGGATGGGGTGCAGAGGGAATACAATTGGAAGGGACTGCAGTGGAGACAACCCAATGTGAGGTGTTACAATCCAAGTGGGGGTAAAGATGACATGTGCATAGGGGCAGGGACAACAGAGACTGGTTACAAACAAGAAGATTGGACTATTAATCAAAGATACTGATTATGGGAGACAGCTTACTGTCAGAAAGGAAGCTAAAGATTAAAAGGGAACAACTGGAATGAACATTGTTGGATTAGATTGGAAGTATTGGTAAGAACTCTTGCTTTTCAATATGTTTTGATACAGAACTGGAGATTAATGTATGCTTGTATGCATGTGTATATATGTACACACACGATTCCCTGCTGCTCACTGAGAGCTATGAGCAATGACTACCCCAATAGCAATATGGACACCTATCACCATTTGTGCCCAGATCTTGGTTTCTAAACATCGCTGGCCCCTGAAAGGAATCAGGGCTTTTATGAAAAATGGCTGATTCTAGAACTGGGGAAGAAAACACAGGATGAGCTTGGAACATCTTGCTGTCCAGAGAAGAAGGAGGTACCCAACCAACAATGGGGACAAGTCAAAACACATGAACTCACCTTGAAATGTTACCACTGGCCAAATCTGGGGAAATTAAGCACCAAAATAATGAGCTTTCCCTTCTTCCTCACTTGTTTGTTTGTTTGGCGTTAAGCATTTATCAATGTAGAAGGAATGGAATAATAAGAATATCATTTGGCAAACAACATAATAACAGATCCATGCAAGGGTAATCAATGGATGCTAAATCTAGTATGTGAAATTTTGATGAGTAAAAAAATATTTACAGGCCCTCAGAGTACCTCCACATAAGGTATTTGTGACATACAAAGGTAAATAGTACCTTTACTGTGGACTAACGTGGCAGACACTTCGTAACCACATGACCACAGCAACACTGGCAGCAATGGAGCCCAACATGTGCCTGCAGATTTGCTGCATGGGAAGAAGTCAGCATCCCTGACATTCCTGCCCACATGGCATAATGTGAAGCTACTTGAAGAAACGTCAGACAGACCTAAGCAGAAAGTCTACAAATAACTGGCCTATACTCTTCAAACTGTAAATGTCATTCATGAAAAGCAAAGGAAGTCTACAGAACTGTCCCAGATTAAAAGAGACTAAAGAAACAGGACATTGGACATAACACATCTTCCTGAATTTACTTGGACTATAAAGGATATTATTGAGACAATAGAAAATATCTGAGTAAGATCCAAGATTAAATATTAATACTGACACAATTTTAATTCATTGATTTTGATAATAATACTACAACTAGAGGCCCAGTGCACAAAAATTTGTGCCCTCGGGAGGGTCCCTTAGCCTAGCCTGTGCCCTCTCACAGTCTGGGACCCCTGGGGGGATGACCACCTGCTGGCTTAGGCCTGCTCCCTGGGGGATTGGGCCTAGGCTGGTAATCAGACATCCCTCTGGCAGCCCGGGAGCCCTCAGGGGATGTCCACTTGCCAGCAGGGAGCAGGCCTAGCTGCAGTCAGACATCTTTAGCGCTGCTGAGGAGGCGGGAGAGGCTCCCACCACCATCGCTGTACTGGCAGCCATCAGCCTGGCTTGTGGCTGAGCAGAGCTCCCCCTGTGGGAACACACTGACCACCAGGGGGCAGCTCCTGCATTGAGCGTCTGCCCCCTGGTGGTCAGTGTGTGTCAGAGTTTTCAGTGATTCCCAGTTGCTCTGCTATTAGGGTCAATTTGCATATTACCCTTTTATTATATAAGATAGAGGCCTGGTGCATGGGTGGGGGCTGGCTGGTTTGCCCTGAAGGGTGTCCCAGATCAGGGTGGGGGTCCCAGCTGGGGTGCCTGGCCAGCCTGGGTGAGGGGCTGATGGCTGTTTGCAGGCTGGCCACAGCCCTTAGCCACCCAAACTCCCAGTGGAGGCTGGCTGGAAGCAGGTATCTGGGATTTATTTAGCTTCTATAATTGAAACTTTGTTGCCTTTTGCGGAGGCCACAGTCGGCCAGAGCAGGCAGAAAGCTTGGCTTCCTCCATCGCCGGGGCAACCAAGCCTCCTGCTTGCTCCAGCTCCGTGGCTGCCGGCCGCCATCTTGGTTGGGTTAATTTGCATACAGTCGCTCTGATTGGCTGGTGGGCATGGCATGGGCGTAGCAGAGGTGCAGTCAATTTGCATGTTTCTCTCTTATTAGATTAGATAAGTATTCATTTTAAACTATAATAGTTTTTAAATTTTTTATACAGCACTACTAATAGTACTACTAATAAGATACTGAATGCACTTTTGGGCTTCTGTGGTTCTTTTGCTTTAATTAGCATCTTTGTCTTTTATTAGTGTCCATTATGTAAGATAATTCCCTTTTCTTAGGAAATGCACACTAAAGTGTTTAGGAGTAAAGAGGTGTCATGTCTGTAACTTACAAATGGTTCATATATTATATCTAACAAACCTACATTTATATTTATTTAGGTAATAGACAAGAAGGGAGAAAGGTTAAAGTATTGTAGTAAAATGTTAACATTTGGGGAATGGTTTTAGGATTTTTTTGTACTGTTGTTGTAACTTTTCTATAAGACTGAAACTTCTAATGCAGAATATTTCTAAAAGAAAAATTCTAAAAGTAATTTTAACAAATTATAACCCATTATATGAAATAAACCACGAATTCATTTGATAAATGAATAAATTAAAAGTTTAATGAAGAAGAGATATTTACACTGACTCTAAAAACTTCCCTATAAAGCAATAATTGTGAAGTGAAAAAAGAAACATTACAGTGGAGAAACCCAGTAGATACTGCCTTCACTGATGAACATTAACATCACAAAGAATGACAAATCAAAACTGTAGGTCACATCACAGGATGCAATGAGAAGAGTATAGGACTACTTCTGTGATGCTCTTGATAAAAATGTCTGATCTAAATCCTACATAATAAAAGCCTAATATGCTAAGTGTCTGGTCATCTGTTCAACCAATCAAAGTGTAATATGCTATACTAAGGCCACTCAAACACTTGTTATGACATGCACTGACCACCAGGGGGCAGACACTCGACCCGGTAGATTAGCTTGCTGCTTGAGTCTGGCTGATGAAGATGGGCTGGACATGCCCTGGAGCCCTTCTGCGGTCCCTCCCTGGCTGGCCAACCTCCCATGTGCCCCTTCACAACCCAGGACCACTCAGGGGATGTTGGAGAGCTGGTTTCAGCCCAATCCTGCAGGCCAGGCCAAGGGATCCCACTGGTACACAAATTCATGCACTGGGCCTCTAATATTATCATAAGGAAAGATCAGAAAAATCCATGATCTGAAATTGAAGGATGTTCAACATACATTAATTGAACTTCCTCTTCAAAGGATTCAATGTCATGAAAGTCAAGGAAAGACTAAGGACCTGTTCTAGCCTGAAGGAAAAGAATAGACACTACAGCTCAATGGAACCTATGGATCTGAACAGGGTCTTCATGCTATACAGACAAGTGGCAAAATTTGAAAAGGATGTGAGGATGAAACTATAGAATGTATTAGTGTGAATTTTCTGATTGTGAAGGTGGTATGGTAGACAAGTGGAATGTACGAAAGGAATAAAGCATGGTGGCACAGTGTAACAATTTACTCTCAAATAGTTCAGGCAACAGAGTTCTTTGAACTAAAACTTGGAACTTTCTGTAATTTTAAGACTCTTTCTAAAAATTCATTTAATAAATGGAAATGTAGAAAAGCCTTAGGCAAACTTTATTTCCCCCACAAGGAAAAATTTTTAAATCTGTGTTTAAAATTGCCTAAGTCCAATGCCACGATAACAATTTTAATATAGCTAAACAGAAGCCATAGCAGCAGATACCAAAATAATCTCTGTCTAAATCTTTAGGACCAAATATTGTGATAAAATTGGAATATATAAAAAAAATCTATCAACTAGCATCACTAAAATATGAATGACAAGTTGTTTGCTTTGATGTTGTTTAAACAGTTGGTATTTGGGCAATTTGAATATGTATAATTCAATAGTGCTGGCTTTCATTTACAAAATCTGCTTAAAACTTACTTAGATGCCCCCAAAATACCCCAGTTTTAAATACTGTATAAATTTTCATCAAACATATGATCAAAAAGTTTTTTCTTTAATAAAAAGTTCACGTCATGTGTCTAATGGAAAGCAAAATGTTATGTAAATAGTACAGTAAATAATTTTTTACTGTTTATGTTTCAGATCATGTAATTTTTCAGCAAAATTTCTTTATACTCTTTTTGTGCTTTCAAAAGTAAATCTTGACATGAACTTGACTGACTGATTGATCCTACAGATCCTACAGGACAAACTCTATAGGATTCAGCTTCAAATTTAGCAGCATCTGGAAAGAAAAAGAATTGTATTCTTTAAACTACAACTAAGTATAAGTGTTAAAAACAATAAAGACATCTATATCTGGGTACAATACACAACCAAGAATACTACGAAACATAATTATTAATTCAGTGGTTGCACACTGTATTAATTGGTATCATGGCTAAGTATCAGAGCTTTTGGTTTTCCCCATATTCAACACCATGCACTAAGGTAGTGTGACAAGCACTGGAGTTACAAGATGAAGATGACACAGCCCACCCCTGAACAATCATTTATATATATAAATGGCTAATATGCAAAGTGTCCCCTCAGGAGTTTGACTGGGAGACCGGAAGTTTGAACGCTGCTATGCTGTGTGTTGACCACCAGGAGGTGGTGCGGAATGAAGCAAGGCCCTGGCCCGGAGCTGGAAGGCCCCAATCGGCCCTGATTGCCAGCCAGGCCTAAGGACCCTACCTTTGCACAGATTTCGGGCACTGGGCCTCTAGTTTACTGTAAACTGAAAAAACAACAAACAAGCAGACAATTTCACTCAGAGTCATAGATACCACTAACCAATATAACACAGGGCACTATTGGAGCACACAAAGGAGACATCCCAGTTTTGTGTCAATATTGTCAGCTTTTTGGTGGAGGTGATATGTAAGTTGATATGTGATGGACAAAAAAAAAAAAAAAAGTATGCCAGAAAGAGAAATGAAGCAGATGCCAGAACTAGAAATGAGGAAGAACATTTGTGGAACTGGAAATGTCTAGTTTAGCTGCTAGAGCAAAGGGGCAGAGCAGCAAATAGAAGGCTGCATTATTTGGCAACAAGTAAGTGGATTTCAGTGTTTTTACTCCACGCAAAGGAATTTGGAGTTTTCATGAAGGTAAAAGAATGACAAGTCAATGACTGGAGTTTTGAATATTGCCCCTCAGTTGACAGTTATATGAACTGTAACTGCTTGACAGTATTACTAGATGAGTCTGGTTATGTGGCCTTATATCACTAGTAAAAACATGAGAAGTGATGAAGCCAGTTTTCTGACCATAGTTTCAGTGTGCAGGTCGACAGTCCACGGCAGAGGGAAGGAAGAGAATAGCCAGAAATGAAGAGAGATGCATACTGGTAGACTTCTGAGGTCTTTAAAGAGCCATAGAACATGATGATTACATGTGGGATAAGTATATTCTTCCTTATGACTGTTTATATTTCACATTTTTCATTCACATGGAAAAAATATTTAATGCAGTATATATCTTCCAAACATGGAAACAGATGCCATTTCCTATTCTCAGTTTATTTACAAAATCAATGATATCTAATAAATTTTGGCAACATACCTTCTTTTCGTTCTCTAGTTAGGGTTTCTCCATACTCCTGCCATATCTGAAATAGGTCAAATATTATTTTTAGTATTTAAGTTAAATAAGAGACATTATTAGAGGAATGATATATAGCTTATGAAATGTGTCCTTTAAATACTACTTTTAGAGGCTGGAGCATTAGGGATTGCACAAATAGAAAAATAATCACATAATTCAGACTCATTTTAATTTTTGATAATAGAGAGCATGCATATATAATGATATTTAGATTAATCTGATAAAAATACAATTATTATTGGTCCATTGAATAACCATAACTTCAGGAAAGTAATATTTGATACCATTGGTTTAAAGAAGTTTAAACAAGTCAAGTCATATTTAACACTGAATGCATTACTTTGCGATTCCAAGAAAAACTATTTATAAAAATTTAGGTTTTTGTGAGTTTTTTTTTACTTGAATTGATTTTTCTTTTAAATGATCTTTACATCCCCCTTCAGGCCAGGTGCTGCTAGCCTACAGCCCCCCTGAGTTGCCTTTCCCTGCTGGGGGGCGGAGGGAGAGGGCTGCCCATGGGGGCGCTGAGGGGCCACATGGGTTCTGTGCCTCTCGGGCATGTTGCTGGGTGGGGGTCTGCTCCTGGGGGCGCTTCAGCTTCTCCTGCCCCTCTTGCCACTCCTTCCTGATCCCCAGGCCCCAGCCCAGTGGTTGGTCCTGGCACAGCCCAGGCCAAAGCAATGGGACCCTTCCGCGGTGTACCTGGAGCAGAGGCCTTCCTTGGGGAAGAGGTGGTGTCTGGTGTCTTCCAGGAAACCGGACGGAGCCCGTGGTGACCCCTGGTGACCCTGTTCCCAACGCTGGGGATCCAGAGGCAGCCTGACTCGGGCTGTCATGGATATGCTGGCAGAAGACCGTGTCTGCATTCTAAATCATGGAAAAGCCCATAGGAAAGATAAGTGACTCTGGACTCAAGATACTCAGATGAGTCTGTTGCTTCACATTTTGCCCTTGTCACTGTTTTTTGATGAAGACATCAAAAAACGCTTTAAGGATTCAGAGAAAAAAAACCCTTTCCTAAAGAAAAGAGTAAAATTATCGGAAGAAAAGCTTACAGGTGCTCTATTAGATGAAAAAACATGTTCTGTGGGCCGAGAATAAGTAAATAAGGCCTATCATGCATACTGAGAGGTTTGCATTGATAGAGATAATTTAAAGAGAAAATTGGATAAAATGAACAAAGACAACCTGAATGTTTGAAAGTATTGAATGAACAGCAGCAGTCTAAAGAGGTAGAAGTCCTCAGGCTAAGAACAGAGATGGAAACACTGCAGGTGATAAGGAATTTAAATCCACCTTCATCAAACTGGGAGGTGGAAAAGCTGAGTTGTGACCTGAAGATCCATGGCTTGGAACAAGAACTAGAACCGATGAAAAAAGAATGTAACTCTCTCAGAATAGAGCCTCAAAAAGCCAAACAAACACATCCATCTCAGGAAGACAATCTGCAGAGCAGAGCTCTCCAAAGACTAAGCATTTCAAGTGATGAAATGCAAAATGCATACTGGGAGCTGAAGGGAGAAATGTCTAATTTGCATCTGGTGACTCAAGTACAGATTGAACTGAAAACCCCAACTGCCATCAAGAAAGCCTGTGCCCCGTAGGATTCCCGTAAGACCTTGGCAAAGACAGCACACAACTGCACTTGACGAATTTCACTGCAACAAACAAAAGACACCCCCCTCTCTCACCAAAGGCAAAACTCTTTGTCTTACCACAGCTTCCCCTTTACCAGGAGATGGAAAGGTTTTATCAGAGAAAGCAGTTCCCCATCATGCACAGATAATGAGAGACCCATTCCTCATGACTGCACAAACTTTCAGGAACATTACTCACATGGCAGAAATTCCCTGGAAGATAATCCCCAAGCCCTCCTAAATCAAGTGAGACAGCATTTGGGGAGACTAACAATGAAACGTTGCCTTTACCCATCCTGCCACCACCGCATAACTTGGATCAACATAATCAAATCTGCCTTTATAAGAATGAATTCTGAAGAGATCTGTGACTTGGTCATGAAGTTGCTGCACCTCCCCCATGGGCACTCTTAAGAAATTCTTTAATAAACTGAAAGCGGGATTTGATTAAACTTTTGCCAAGTTCCTCAATGTACACGTTTGCACATACTGTAACGTATTATGTAGTTGATTTTCCAATAGGAGAGACCAACCCTTCATCTTCATATTCTGCCTAACAATCAGATATATATTACTAACAAATTAATAAACTTGTTTCAAAAGGACAAAAATTAATAACAAAATGAGCTTTCTATTCTTATACTTTTAGAAAATTAAAAGTTTAAGATATGTTCTATGCTATTAATTTTTCAATCTAAAATTACAAAAGTGGTACTGTCATAAAGTCACATGAAAATTCTACTGGCAAAAAATAACTGAAACTATGCTACTACGACTGAGACATTTCTTTATTCATATGGACAACAAAGGTTTCAGAAAATCTTTTATTTGAGGAATAAAAAAATCAATATATGGCCCTGGCCGGTTTTCCTCAGTGGTTAGAGCATCAGCCCTTTGACGTAAGGGTTGCAGGTTTGAGTCCTGGTCTGGGGCACGTACCAGGGTTGCAGGTTTGCTCCCTGCCCCCAGTAGGGTTGTATGAGGGAGGCAACCATTAGATATTTCTCTCTCACATGGATGTTTCTTTTCTCTCTCCCCTCCTTCCTCCCTCCTACTCTCTCTGAAAAGCAATGGAAAAAGTATCCTCAGGTGAGGATAATAACAGTAACAAAAATCAATATATAATTCTGTAATTGTAATAACCTTGCTTTCTTTCTAGAAATTAGAGCTACATTTGAAAACAAACAATTATAATTATAGTCTACTTAATAATGAAATGTGTGGGAATACTTCCAATTATATTAAAAATGTCCTTATCCAGAGTGTTCTTAATAAAACTTTTCTTAAAAAAGGTATCTTTTCACTCAATTCCTGAAACAGGGTTTAAAATAGTATACTAAGCATTAAACACTGTGGTGATCATTATCATGTGATACCCAATGCCAAATTTCAGGTGTGAAGACAAATTTGATGACTAACATGTTCCCCAGTATATTTGGAGGCTGTTTCTATTAACACTTATGACAATAGCATGACAGACAGGCCTTATTAAATGGATAATGTGGCAACATTACTAGACAGACTTTGTAAAATAAATAGCTCGATACTAGATAAAGACCAAGGCCTTTATTGAATCAATTTTATGTCACCATTAATAAAGTAGGTATTATGTGACTCACACTTTTACACAACTTGAATTAAGAAACTACCCATGGAACATTATTCTCTGTTCCCCCAAAAGCTCCTTTCCTAAATATTTACTTCTGTGGTGTTTATGCTTATTTCTAGGTGAGGACTTTGTCCAGACGGTGGAAGGAGCTTGAAGTTCCAACATTAATAAGGAGAACACATCTGCCATGTTATTCCTATTGTGTCATTTTCAACAATATAAAACGATGAGAAAAGTATACACATTAAAACAATGTATCAGCAACATTCAATTCAAAGTATTTGTCATTAGAAGGATTTTTCTCAGAACTGGTAGTTCCCAAACTCTCTCCCATAGGAATCTGTTTCCCCTGTGGACACCTGCAGGATTGCAGAGTCTCCATCCCCCCTTAGTTAGGCAGCTCGATTTGTCTGTATTATATGAAACATTTTCATGCAAATTCTAAAAATAAAAAATAAAATTTCTAGTCTAAAAAAATATTTAAGGTATGAAAATCACTTATTTTTTTATCAAGCATATATATGTCATAATTCATGGAAAGTTCCATAGATTTCTGCTTTCATACAAAAAGCATAGTGAATGTAAATATGAGCAAATTGGGAGACCAAGATGGCGGCATAGGTTAACACCAGAAATTGCTGCCTTGCACAACCACTTCAAAAATATAACTAAAAGACAAAAAGGACATCATCCAGAACCACAGGAAGGCTGGCTGAGTGGAAATTCTACAACTAGAAGGAAAGAGAAAAGCACACTGAGACTCAGAGGAGGTTCGGAAGTAAAGTGCAGAGGTACGGAGGCGCACTCGAAAAGGCCAGGCAACTGAGGACATGGTTGTCTTTTTTATTCGGGAGAAAGTCACAAGCTCCCAATGCTCTGAACTCCAGTTCTGGGCGAGTCTTTGGGGACCCGGATTCATACAGGGAGAAACTGGACTGTCTGCATCGGTTGGAACTCGAGGGCGACTGTCTCTCAGAGGTGCTTGAAGTGATTACCGTGGGACACTGAGACGTGGTGCCGCTTAGGGTAGGACTGAGTAGCAGCCATAGCTGCTTGCTCCACCCTGTTGAACCCCCGAGACCCTGCCCCACCCAAGCTGTGTGCAGAGGCATTTGCATATGAAAGGCCTAGCCCTTTGCAATCTGAAAATTACCTAACAAACTGCAGCTTGGTCAGAGAGACCCAGAACTTCCAAAAGAAGGCCCAAGGCCCCACAGAAGCTTGCATTGTTTCACAGCTGGGCCTCATCTGGGCACCTCCAAACCCCAAACAAAGAAGAGGAATCTGCAGATCTCTCCATAGCTCCTGCCTGGTAGCCTCAGGCAGAGGCTAAATTAGCACCTCCTTAGAGATCCAAGAGCCAGTGTACCCAGTGCTCAGATTGGGAGCATCCAGATTACAACTCCTCAGATCCATAAGGGACACACTCAGGGGGCAGACTCAGTGAGCACCAAAGCCCTACTGAAGCAAGTCTTGCCCCAGAGGGGTGTCTCAAGCACAAAAGTTCTCCCACTGCAGACACAGCTGATTCTCACAGCCAACTGGCCTGGAGGTCAATTCCTCCAAGTGATATCTACAACAATCAAGGCTTAACTACAACAAGACAGTGCACAAAACCCAGAAAGGGGTGCACCAAGAGTGTCCACCTCAGGTAACTGGGGAGGCTGAGCCACTGGGCCCTATAGGACACCTAGCACAGAAAGCCACTTTATCAACACAGGGAAGCATAAAAAATGCGGAGACAAAGAAACAGGTCACAAATGACAGAAATGGTGGAAAGCAAACGACTGGATATAGAGTTCAAAACCATGGATATAAGGTTACTCAAGAATCTTCTAGAAAGTGCCAATAAATTTAGTGAGACCCTCAAGAAATCTAGTGAGACCCTCGAGGTTATGAAAAAGGACCAACTAGAAATTAAGCATACACTGACTGAAATAAAGAATATTATACGGAGTTCCAACAGCAGACTAGAAGATTGCAAGAATCAAGTCAAGGATTAGAAATACAAAGAAGCAAAAAACACCCAACCGGAAAAACAAACAAAAAAAAGAATCCAAAAATATGAAGATAGTGTAAGGAGCCTCTGGGACAACTTCAAGCGTACCAACATCTGAATTATGGGGTTGCCAGAAGAAGAGAGAGAGAAAGATATTGAAACCCTATTTGAAGATATCATGACCGAAAATTTCCCCTACCTGGTGAAAGAAATAGACTTCCAAGTCCAGGAAGCACAGAGAACCCCAAACAAAAGGAATCAAAGAGGACCACACCAAGACACATCATAATTAAAATGCCAAGAGCAAAAGACAGAGATAGAATCTTAAAAGCAAAATAAAAACAGTCAGTTACCTAAGAGGGAGTACCCATATGACTCTCAGCTGATTTCTCAACAGAAACTATGCAGGCCAGAAGGGAGTGGCAAGAAATATTCAAAGTGATGAATAGCAAGAACCTACAACCAAGATTACTTTACCCAGAAAAGCTATCATTCAGAATTGAAGGTCAGATAAAGAGTTTCACAGAGAAGAAAAAGTTAAAGGAGTTCATCACCACCAAACCAGTATTATATGAAATGCTGAAAGGTATCCTTTATGAAGAGGAAGAAGAAGAAAAACGTA